TCAGCTGTTGCTCTCTGAGAAGGGACTAAAGCTCTCATGTGCTTGCTTGTTATGAGAAGCAGCTGTCACTGGCTTGGGCAATCCCTCAGCTGGTGGCTTTTGGTATTGCTGACTATAGTAATTCCCATCTAGTGAACCTAGTATTGTATTTAATCTTCTGGGTAAATGCTTTAATTGCACATGGTCCACCAATGCAGCTTCATCTGAAGGATAACTAGACTGTCTAGCTCCATCCAGGCCCCATAAGGCAAGACTCTGTCTGTTTTACTAGAATATACACTGAGGTCATCTTGAAAATTTCCTCTTGTTCAGACACTTGTGTGGCTATGCACATTAACTCCAAGTATTCTCTTTACTATGTGAAAGAGCCAGCTCTTAAGTTGCTGTTTCATTATGTGACTTCAAGCGGCACAGGGAAAACTCAGTTAAGGCAGGACAAGCGGTGGTTTCCATGTAAGCTGAGAGGACTAAAAGTGATGTGGAAAGACGGATTAAGTTTCAGTTTTCCCTCCCTGGGAAAGGGACTAGAATGTTGAATGCTGAAATTTTACAGCATCTTAGTTATCATAAACTTGTACTCAAGGGGACATGATTACATGAGGGGGCAGAAGACAGCCTACTCAAATTAAGACTGCAATGACTGGCTTATAAAGAATAGAGTCTAATATGAATTCTTAAAAATCTATCTTCATCTTTTCAGGGAAAGATGAGGCAGATTTCAAATATGAGTTATTTTTATGTTCTCTGGGAGCTAAAAAATATACCTTAACACATCTGCTTCTAGGTCTTCCCTTATTTATCCACAGATGTAGTTCACGAATAGAGGAGTCTCAGCATCATTTATTTTTAAGCCATTTTTGTTTTGCTTTTGTTAGCTTTTTTCCCCAGCAAGTCTTACCTTCTCCTGTTTGGATGCAGTACACCTGCTTGAATTGCTACTTTCAGTATTACTGCCTGGAATATTATTGTTTGCTTGGTCAGACAATGGCATGCACTTCAAAGCTATATGGATTTGTGCTTGTTATAACCTTGCACTTCAGCAGCCTTTAAGCATCTTAACAGATCCTTTTCATGCTGCCTGCAGTTTAACAATAGGTTATTCTTTCTGGAAATGTAGGGGACTACAGCTCAGTTTTAACAGATCAGGATTCAAGAATTTACTGAACATTTTCCCAGGGTCCTCCCTTATTCTTATAAAGAATTTTAATCTTAATACTAGTCTATTGTCCAAAACATTACAAAATACTTCCTCACTATTATTCCTATTCCAAATACACTTATAGAAAGGCAGCTTTGTAAGAATAGCATGTTTTCACTCTTTGCATATTTGCTGCTACAGGTTGCTGATCAAGGAAAAGAGCACCAGCATACCACTCAGGCTTTTTGGTGCCATACTCATGCTTTATTTAAAAAAAAAAATACACAATGCTAGGAAAAAAAAAATAATCGAGATTACTTTACAAAAAACCTGCAGTCATCTTCAAGAGATCAGATCTCACTTATAAATGAAAGTCAGCAGGTAAGAAAGTAAATGCTAATTTAACATTTCAGTTGCAGTACATCATCTGAACTTAATCACCCAAAACAATCAAGTCATTCTTAAACTGACTGGTGATTGTATCTACACAATCATCTCTCTTACTTGATTAAAAAAAAATCTCTGGGAAAATTTAAGGGAGAAATGGAAAAACGTCAGAAGAATGTTATTTAGCCCATCTATAAACTCTTGCAGAAACTGAAAGATTGTTCTGGCTTTGCTCTCCTCTGTAAGTTAACTGCAATTCCTCTGTGCATTTAAGAAAAGTCTTACTGTAGAGCTGCTAAATTCTGTTCAGTGAGGGGATTACACTAGTATAACATGAATCTACATAGTTACCATCAAGTTACACTAGTGCTATGTCTTACTATCTCTACAGAAGTGTATTGTACAAATCTCAAGTAACTTCAAAACACTCCTGAAACAGCCCTTGTGTCACTCCTATGAGGTAGGTACTGTCCTTCCTTTGGGGAAGAAAAGAGAACACACTCTTTAACTGCTGCTCAGTACATCAGGCACACTGAAAAACAGGACAACCAGCCTATGTCAGTATTTGACCTTCCTGCTGCTTCCCTGAATTCAGAGCTTTCAACTGCAACATCTTGTTTAGCACCATACATTCCAGGAATAAACAGTGAATGATGCTTTTGATTATATCCATTCCAAGGCAAGGAAGATGAGCATAACCGTTTTGAAACAAGCAGAAGCGCTGCCATCACTAGTCTGCTCCATTCATCTCCACAGCCTACAGTTTAATTATTTTGTACATGAAGAATAAAGATGATAGTTCATCCTTTAGTCTGACAGCAGCCACTCTTCTTTCTCAGATTAAATGATACTGGGAAAAAATGAACTGCTGTCACAAAGCAGATGGTGTACAGAGGGCTACAAGTACCAAATGCAGTTCAAGGGTAGCTAAATTAATGCTTTGCTACCACTGTAGACGGGAACTCTAAAGCAGTTTTTCTTTCCCCAAGTATAGACTCATTGAGTCTTCATAACTTTTTGAGTTACTTAAGGAGCTGTGAGAAAGGAATTTATGATGGTCCCTCACACTAAAGCCATAGTTTATTTGCAGTCTAAAACCATTTTAGCATCTCTTACTAGTAAGGAAGAAACCCTAATCCACATCTTCTTTCACAGTCCTCGCTCCTCTTCTCATAACCTCAATTGAGCAGTTGTGTGGTGGTGCAGGAAAGCTTGCTGAAAATGAGGCTGGTAAGAGTGCTAGATTGTACAAATGCTTGTGCTGCCACATGGAAAGGTGTGACGGAGACAGGCAAAATTAAGACGGAAGAAGTAGCAAAGTCAATGAAACTACACCCTACTCAGCTGATAATACTACTGATATCCAGTAATATACCTGTGATGCTAAGCTACCTGTATGTGTCTAAAAATTGAGTAGAAAATTCAAGTACCAAAATAAAAGTTGTGAACTAACAGGATAAAGCAACAACTATGTTCTCCCTTTTGAAGAAATCTGAGTGTAGCAGACTCGCTTATTCACTAGAAATAATGTAAGAGTTGCCAAAGTTCAATTACTGCTACACACTAGAATGTTATTGCCAAATTTCAACTACAGCAAACTAACAAGAAACAGGGAATTCAAAACTGTTCATTCATTTATCATGCGCAGTAGTGGACTGCCGGCCACTGTTTTTATGAACTGCTTCTGGCTGAGAAAGTTACTATGAACCACCCACACTGAATGCCAAGTTGTATGATCAGAAAGACAGCCTTGGTACAACTGGCCTTTCCCCACTAGTTCCTACACAAGTTGCTAAACTGTCTCCTCCTTTCATGCTTAGAACTTACACATTTGGACGTTAGCCACTGAGTGCAGAGAATAAAGCTGAAACCTTCAAATACTTACATCTTATTTGTACAGTGCTTCAGTCCTTCAACTCCTCTTAAGTCCTGGTCAGTATAAGATTTCTAAAGGCCTAACTTGCTCCAAAACTCAATCAGTAAGGGCTAAACTATTTATCCAAACAAATAAAACTAGGATGTTACAAATTAGTATCCTCTGTTCTGATCTTTTGTCTCTTTTCCTGGAGTACCACTGTATTTAGAACAGCCCTCATCATCGCCCCCTCAAGACTACCTTCCTGTCTTGGGAAGAATTTGAATATACAGTTTAAGATTACCTATTATCAGAAGGTGAAAAAAAAAATAATCTTCATTTCATGTTAGAGACATAATCCAAGAGAAGGAACTTAGAAGTTCAGTACATCAGGTGCTGCAATAGCTATAGGGCTTTAGCATACAAAGCATTTAATACATAAATACTTTGTTGAATCAATACCAGCTTGAATATAAGCCCATAAACCTACTATAGAACCAGTCAGATTACATCACTAAAGGCAAAGAAAGTTGTTCCACACGATTTCAGCGGAGATGATACCTCTTTTGAAGGTAGCATTCAACTGCATGACAATTCAGCAATCTTAACTATTAAAAATACTCTGCCTGGGCTACCTATATTATCAGGAAGTTGAACAGAGCATCTTCGGGGTTGCTTTTCCTATTATCTTTTTCACAGCAAGATGAGTCAAGAACATCTTCACAGTTCATTCTGGGAAAGTGTACAGTAAAGTAAAGTAGTCCCAGAACAGGTAGTTTCAGAGCTTAGATGCTTCAAACATGCTATGACATGATTTACAAGTATTGCTCAGTGTACATTGGCTCAGAAGCTCAGTCCCTGCAGAGCGAGTGTAGATCTAAAAGAGCACTTTCATATGTGGGGATCAGGAAGGGGAAGAAGAGAAGAAAACAAGGTCTCAAATCAATGCCTCTTCCTGAACCCAACAAGCTTCCAGATAACCTTTAGACACACAAAGCGATGCGGTTGAGATATAAACAATTTAAGCCTCATCCAAGTTCATGAATGGCAACAAACTGACACCCTGCATTATCTGCTCTTTCTACTGTCAGTTAAATTCCTGAATGCAATGGATATGGATCAGTACCTGGTAATCACATAAGGTGTGCCTGCCACAAAAGAAAATCTCATTTTGATTGCATATAGCTTTTCTGCTTTAGTACTGAACTTATATGTAGTTAATAATGGATATGCGTATGTGTTACTAGTAGGAAAGACAAGGTAATTAAAAACCCAACTCAGAGCACTGTACTGACCAGTGGAAAGAAGTCTGAGATTTAAAAACTGCAAACAGTGAATTAAATAGTTCGCCATTTAAAAAGGTTATTTGAAGCCAACAGTTTTTCAAATTCAGTTTCAAGTGTGTACAGTAAATGCAAAGTCCTTGCCCCATGTAAAGCTTTAAGAAAAGTCCACATCTTGATATATGTATGACATTCTAGTTTTTGTGACAGAACCAAGAACTTGCTGAAAAGTTGTTCTGGCTTACTCAATTTCTTGAGTAAACATTGCAGAGCTACCACTATAATCAGGATACCTAAGCTGCTGGCACAACTCAATAACTAACCATTTAACAAGCTGGGTATAAAAAAAATTTATGTAGTAATACCAATTCAGCACACAAATTCCATGCTTCACAAGTTTTGCTGCTGTATAAGAGCCTTCCTAACACCTATGCAGGTAAGTTCAGATTTTTAGGTCACTGCATGCCCAGATCAAAACAGCAGCAAAATATCTACCACTACAAGCAGCTATACCCAATTGTGCCTTTAGAATGTAAACTATGCGGAAATCTAGATGACCAGTGCCTTGCCACTGAAGTAGGACCACGCACACAAACTTCAGTGTGTGCACACTGTAGAGAATAAAGTTACTTATTGGAAAAGGGAAATGTGTACAGATTCCAATACAGACATGATACAATCAAGACAGATTAAGTCACTAGACATTCAAATTAGGGGGAGGAGAAAAATCCTTCAAAGACAGTGTACAGATGACAAGCCAGCTTTACAAAGAACTCTAAAGGCACATTTCAGGTAACACGGTTCTGGTAAGACCAACTGCTTACACACGCAGGCACAAATCTTAATGGCTACCTTCCCGCCCACCCCTCTCCCAACAATTAACAAAAAAAAAAAAGAGAAGTGCATTTTCAGTAATATTAACACCATTCAGTTAATCTGTTCAGTCCAAATGTTTAGCAGTATTTTCCTTATGGTGATATGGATTCTCTGCACTACTCCAATCCAAAAAACCCAAACAGGCAGGATTAGTAAAGGTTCTACTGTTGTGCTAGTTAACATTTACTCATCAGAGCCCACTGATCTCTTCTGTGCCCTCTTGTAGGGCAACCTCCTCGGTGAAGCTTTATCTAGATAAAAAAAAAAAGATAGATGCATCAATTGCTACAGCTACTTCAGATTAGACATTACATGACCACGAATTTTTCTCCCTCCCAAAAAACGAACCAAACTGCCCTTCTAATGCAATGCATCACCACAGAGAAGCCAGTTCAAACAACTTGTTAAGGCTTTTTAACTATTAGCATCCTGAATAGAAGGGAAGAAAAAAACCAGTGTTTCTATTCTGTAACATGCAATGCCAGGGCAAGGGTTGTTCAATTTGCCAGTTACTAAAATGCAAAAAAAAAAACACCCCAAAACATCAAACCCCACACCATCTCCTGACTAAACTGCATGCTTTGCTGTTCAATAATTACACTTTTCGCAAGTTAATGAATTACTTTGATCATTACTGGGTTGAATTTACCTGCCTGAAGAATGTGATTGACACTCCTTTAGACAACTTTGTCTTGCATGAGATATTTCTACATTCATACAGATTAACAGCAGAAGATAAGTGTTTTTGTTGTGAAAAAACGCACTTTTCTAAGAGGCACCCACATCTGACTATGAAGATGTCACTTTGTAATCAGATAGCCCAAATGTGGAAGCCACTCAGCTTTAGCTGGATGATCACTGGATGCCAGAAGCATCATCCTACATTTAAGACTTTGACAGGCCTATAACTGTCCTTTACAACAATGGTCCTTACATAGGTAGAATTTCAATAGTTGTAACATCGTAGAGAAGCTACAGTGCTTTGTATGAAGTGCTAAAGTGATTGCTAAGTATATCTGTTGACTTAAAAATGCGTATTTTCTTAAACAGAACTACCTCCAATAATTTCACTGTTTAGAGTATGTGCAAACACAAGGAGCAGCCATCATGCCACTACAAGCCAACCAGTACAGTATGAGGTGTCTTTCAACAATAAAATAGTGAAGAACCTCTGAGGATCTTGAAGGCCATGTATTTCAAAGGATTCTAGTGTAGAGTTGCAATTAAAACTAATCCGGAGCTAAAGAAAACCACAATTAAGAACAACTTAAACATTAGCTTTTCCTAGACTTCAGGCACTAAGATACAAATACCTATTCAGTTTAAGAAAAGGACGGGGGACAGGACCCAGACACTGCCAGGATTTGAACCCATTTAAAGACAGCTTGCTCTTTGGAAAAAATCAGCGTTTAGAGCTTCAGTCTTTCTTGCTAGATTGAGGCTTTTTAAATTCCTCTGTCTAGATTTCATACTATTATTCTTATGTCTCACAGAAGACAGTGTATGAGAAAGTTTACATTTTCAGAAGTAAAACAGTCCTTATACCTATGTAATGTAAGTACAGTTAAAAAGGGTAAAAGAATCAAAAAAGTGAAGTCATCAACTCCTGGCACAACTTCGTATCAGAGCTAAGGCCTCTAGCCCTTCTACACTGAGCAAAGCTCAGAATATCCTTACTTCATCGAAACGGAAGTCTTTTTCAAGTAAAAGTAGTTCCTGCAAAGGGTTTTCAAAGCACTTCTCTTGTGTAGGATGTACTTTGTTTTAAGCAAGGCTATCTCGCTTTACCCCAGCCAATGTTACTGCTGACAGGAGTTCACCTGGGATAAGGAAGACCCAGGAAGATAAACCTGACTATTAAACTATTATAGCCAAGGCTGAGGTTTGTTTCTCACTGAATATGCAGTCAAGACCAGTTGATACAGGGTTGAACCAAGCTGAACCCAGATACAGGGTTCTGGGAACTGTTAGAGGAGACAACAGTACTTCAGCAATATTCTACTAAAACTACATTACTACAACATAACCAGAAATAATACATATACACATTTATAATATATGAAAACTTAAATTTATATGTATATAAAATGTGTTTGTGTGGTTGCATGCATCTGTTCTGTAATTTTTCATTGCTATTGCTGCATCACCAATCACTGCATGCAATAAGCTGTACTTGTATCCATGCCTAATTATCACATAACACATTAAGCACTTCCACTCTTTAGATCAGAATTTGCCTCACCTCTTCTACTCTGCACTGAAGCCGTGGAGAGCAAAACAGAAGAAACAGCAAGAGAAGTTAGAAATGTCCACAAACACACAAATAGTCTAACGAAATCAGATACTGGGTTTACTCTTGGCATTTCAGCTATCAAGTACAACTCAGTCATTTTGGACTTGTGAAAGACATTAATACCAAGTCTTGATGTGGCTTGTGTTAATACACACTTCTAATGCTTATATAAAACTTTGGTCTATAGGCAAACTTCCAAACAACATGCAGAAACTTTGAGATCATAGATATTTTCTCCTAGCTAAACCTCCTTTGTGACCCAGGTTTTGGGTAGAGATTTTATACTGCTGAACAGGAGTCTACAGAACAAATTGTAAAAGTCACCGACAGTCATTATTGTATCAACCAGTGAAGTTTGTTCTATAAAAGAATAGGCTGCTAATGTAATAGTCTAAACATGAACCACAGTGCTTTAGACAATTTTTTATTCCCTGGAAGAGATGGATGCTGTTCTGAGAAATTGGTATCAGCTACTTATTCAGTTACAACTAATTGATTAAGTTTGTTACGCTCTAGTTTGTGGAAGGCAGACTACTTACTTATTTGATTTAAAGTTTCTTGGGGAATCCAGCTCATATCAACATCATTCTGATTTGATGTTCCCATCTCTACTTTCTGTACTGGTCTTTTCCTCTGAAAATTCAAGAAAAAAAAAAATTTTTTTTCTTTCCACAACAGTTTTGATAGCACAAGTATTAGAAATAACTAATAATGCTATATTTAATGAATTGCATTTCACTAAGACAGAAGCTTAAGGCTAGTCAACGTATAAAGCTGTCTTTGCAGCTTAGCTTTGACTATCTTCACCTTTAGCAATTTATTCACCTGAGCTTGGCATTACCACTTCTAATGCCTTGCACTACTCATTCCACACACAGATACTGAGATTTCATGCATGCCTGGGCAAGTTCATTATACCTGTTACAAAAAATGGCTGAAGATTAGTCAAACTTTGTGATGACTGGCTTCATTATACTTTCCAGATTAGCACAATAGTCTTGTATGTCACCTTGCAAAATAGATTTCAAAGCACAATAATCATTCCAGACTTCTTCCCAAGGGAAGCTACTTCAAAAGTATCGTAAACCAGGCTGCATGAAGACATAACCTATCCATTGTACGCAGGTGAGACTTAAGCTTTCAACAGCTTTTACTTGCCAGACCACTTACACAGACAAACCCTTAGCTGTTACAGCATTATAATCGGAATCTGGAAGGCCCAAATCAACATTATGGCAAAGCAGTGGTAAGAACTAAATAAAGGACTAGACAGCTGTTTTTGCCAAAATTTGACCTAAACTAACAGATAGAAATAGACAGCATGAGGAAAGTCTACCCAGTAAGTATTGAATGAGTAGCTGCACATGTCCAGTGACTGGCAAGTATCAAAGCTTCCAATTCAACCAGCTTCCAATTCAGTGTGGTGCCAAAGACCAGATCCAAAGAACATTACGTAAGCAATATAAATGTCTCCAATTATGAACACTTTTTTAAAAACTCTCTAATTTTCCCAGTAATCTCTAAGGTCTTAGTTCTAAAAGTGAATCTTCTGAAGTTCTACTTGTACCATTGTGTGCCAGAAGCAATTACAGATTTGCTTTCTTTTCAACAGTAAGGCCTTGTATTAACAAGTTCTCACCATTTAAGGCTGGGCCAGCACTTAAAGTGGATGGCAGACACTCTATTAACCCCTTGCTTCCCCCAGAAGGGGAAGGAAAGGAGAAAAGGGAGAGAGACTTATGGGTTGGAAAATTAAAACTATTTTAATAAAACAATAACAATTACAAAGAATATAATAACATTAATACTACAAATAATAGAAATAAAAATACACAAAACCAGTAATGAGCTTCCCAATGATGATCATGGGATCATGTGCCGCAGCGGCTCGCACCACTGACACAGCAGGGCAGGCACCCGTATGTCCTGGACTGGTCTCCCCAGCAGAGAGGAATACAGGGATCAGAGGCAGGAGAACCAGCAAGGTCCCACAGAGATGCTAGCCATGAAAAAAGGGCTGAACCCCATGATCCCTTAGCTTTACACTGAGTATGATGTGTATGGGATGCAATACCTTGTTCGCTGGTTTTTGGTCACCTGTCCCATCCGCACTTTACCACAGGTGTGACCCTTTTATGCCTTTTCACATGTGGAACATAAGACAGCCAAGAGTGACCTTGGTTCCCACAGGAATAAGTATAAACATGGGCCTTTCTGCATACCAATCCCACTGTTACTTTACGCACAGCTATAAACATCAAGCACTATCAATTCTGAAAGCAGAAACTGTCCAAAAAAAAAGTAGCCAACTTCTGAAAGTGCAGTCACTTAGAAGAAACTTAATCAAAGGAAAACAAGTCTACTGAAAGGAGAACTGGTCCTGTTTTAGCCATACCAGGACACGAGTATACAGACAACATACACTACCCACCTTCCTAGATTCTAGTAACTGATGTAGGCCAACAATAACAAGTAGACCAAGTCCAGCGAGGAACATGTACATGAAGATCCTATAAAAAACAGTTTAAAAAACCATTAACTAAAAACCTTTAAGTGCTTAAAAGAGTTTACAAAGAGGCACAGAAACCAAGTCTAACTTTGGCCATGTGAACTTTCCCAATAACTTTTGTAGGGGGTGGGTGGGGAAAAAAACCAAACAAACAATGCATCTGAAACTGAAGTGCTAACAAATATTATTTGTTAATATATTCTATGATTAATATATATCAAATAATATAAATTATTCTGACTTCAATTTCAGAAGCTGTAATCCTAAGTTTAATTCTGAACAACATAACATTTGAAAAATGGTGTATAAACTGTGAAACTGGTCTAAATATTAAATTTAGTAACTGCAAGAACTCTTTTGCAGTACCATGTTTCAAGGCATTGGGTCACAGGTAATATTTATGTTTGTGACAGATTTAACCACTTACAAAACCTTAAAAATCTCTCATATTTTTAGTATGCTGCTGCAAAGCAAGTACTGCTAGGATACCAATTTATTGGCAACAGAGCTTTGAAAGGCCTTGCTTATCTTGCTCTGTGTTCCACAGTTAGAATTCTACCTATCCGAACAACCATTTTTTAAACCTGTGCATTTTGGTTTTGAAGAATTCTACCTGAAATACTTGATACTTAGCAAGAGGTGAACATAAATTTTATCTAAAATTTGAGGAGCAGACAGGAGTTTGCAGGTAAACAGCCTATTCCAAGTTGAACATCTTCACTCAGATATGTGACAAAGGAAATGATGGAGTTAAACTACGGAAAAGACTTAACTGAACATCTCTTTTAGGGTAATTAACTCAAACTGGTTCTAATAATCTGAATTCTTTTGAGAGGTCCTTTATCAGAGCATCACACATTTTCACATAACCAACTGTTCTTTTATTTATGCTATTCTATTTGAGAAATATGAATTAGTGCAACAGCTATTTCTTTTGGTTGACCTTTCTTAAAAGGAAGCTGGCTCAGCAGGCAATTTCTACCTGTGGTGGTAGAATTCAAATATTCAGCACTGTCTACAAGTATTTCTGAAGATTTTTTTTAACTCACAGGTTTCTCTTAAAATTCCACTCTAGTGTCAGAATATTTAAAAGCATATCAGCACAGCATATGTTTGCAACATATAAGGCGTGTCAGATGTACTTAGCCTTTAAGACAGAAAAAACCCACTACCGAAAGATACCTGCTAGAGATAGGGGTTACTCCAACAAAGAATAAGTGCAAGCTCCTCTCTCTCATACTGCAAATAAATCTTTCAGTTTACATAATCTTGGATTATATTGGAGTGCTCCAGAAGCAAGTTATTCCAGTCTTCAGAGTAGGACCCACAGCCCAATACTATGGACCCTCTGCATCTTTAACTCTTAGGAAAAAGCACGGTAGCATAACAAAAGCTTAAGAGCTTTGAATTGCTACGTGGCTCTATAATATCAGGTCCTATTCCAGGGTTAGGCCCTCTGAGCCAAAGCAGATGTGTAAACTGCTCATTGACATAGTACCAATCCTGAAGATCGCTAGTATTAATACAGATCTTAATTTGGGGAAAAAGTTTGTATTTTCAGTCTATCAACACTGTAGAAGTCAAATGCCTGCTACACCATCAGCAAAACACAGCAGACCTAACATTCAATAAATGATGAAAAGAACTATTCTCACTGGCATCATCAATAACCTGTTCTACCAGTATACCAACTAAACTTGAATCTCCAGCCTCCTTACGTTTCTCCATCCAGCCCATCTTCTTTTTCAATAATTGTAACGGTTTGATTGAAGACAGCATCTTGAAACACATTGCCCTGTAACAAAGTTCCCATGTAACATTTTAAATGCATTTCTTGAACACATAGACAAATGTTTTATCTTTTTCCATATTCTTAGAAAAACTCTGGAAAGCAGTAACTCCTGCACAAGACTTAATTAAGTTTATAAGCAGTGCAAGTTTGACTCAACACATAAAAGCACAAACTTTTTTGCGCAAGTAAAAAGAACAGTCTTGATACTAGCAAGAAAGTCACACCTAGCCTTCAATATGTTATTTCCTATAACGTATTACATACGAAGGGTTCTTATTAGAACAACGAAAACACAAAGGTACAGAAGCCCATTAAACTTTGACCCGCACTAAAATGGAAAAGAATCCCCTATTTTAATCTCCATTTATGCTTTTTGATAGTCTTCCTCCAGATTGCAACTACTAGTCATTTATTTGCTCAAAGTCATGTTTGTAGATGGGATTCAGGTTGATAGTTAAGTTTGTTAGCAAAGCCCAATCTGAAAAGCACAGTGCAACTTAAGTTATTCTAAACAAAGCTTTAGCTTTGAGGATTTTTTGTTTGTTTGTTTTCTGTTGTGGTTTTTTTGGTTTTGTTTTGTTTTGTTTTTTTCTTCCTCCCAAATGAGTACAGCCCACTACGACACAGTTCTTGGACATTCTAGCTTCCACTGCTGGCATAACTTTAAGTCTAATATAGAGAACTAAGTATACATGGGGGGCTATTGTGAAACATGTAGGCAGTTACTTACTGTGCTTATGCATCTACTGATTTTCTTAAAAACCACAAAGGCGTTCACTTTCTGAGGAGGTAGTTACTTGACTAAGCAGTTCCTTCCTGACATTTCCACATCAACTAGAAAGATTAAAATGAATGACAACATCCGGCTTACATTTACATCTCTGTAGTTGAGATTGATAACTAGTCCAAAAGGACGACCACCCATAGGCTCAGCAGGGATGAAAGAATACTCAAACGTGGCTTGTCTCTGTGGTGGAACCACTGTATTCAGAGGGAGAGCTGTGAAGTTCTGGATATAAAACTGGTAGTCCTGAGGGTACCGGAAAGAAGCATCGAGAGATTCAACAATGAAATCCTCTGTACCCTTATTGGTGAAGCCCACCAGAAATTTTACAATGTTGTTCGCTGGAAAGTCTAAAACACAAAAAATATTCAACCATTAGAGTCTTCATATATCACATCTAGCCCACTTCTAAACAGTGTCTAGAACAGATTCTGGTTTTTTAGAGCTTTGCTGTTTTAGGCACACACTGATATAGTCTAAGCAACAGTAAAGAAGATGGTAGATTAGCACAGCACTCTTACCTTCACCTTTCACAAATAAGATGGTTGTATCAGCACTAGGTGAGGCTTTAGGTTCTCCTGATAAGTCTTCTTCCTCTTTTTCTTCTGTCTAAGACAAGAAACTTTTTTGAAAAATCCTATAATGAACAGCGAAGCAAAGACCAGGCTTGTTTCATGAGAATCCCATGTGTCAAAACATGCAACAATGGCAAGTATTATCTGCTGTTGCAGGATTAGCACAGTCTGTTCTCCCTCTAGATTTGATTACCATCATTTTCAGCACTTAACCTTCTACTTGTTATATTTGACACAGTGACTAATCTGAACTGCATTTAGCTGTATTGAAAGCTTTATAATCAGAAAGCCACAATAAGGTCTCTGTTTGGGGGTGGAAGGAAAAGAATAGAATCTAGATGTTAAGTGTTCACATCCAAGCTATTCCTACTTAGAAAACAAGCATTTCCAAAACATAGGCAACTATAAGCCAAATGAGAGTTACTTCCACTAAGAGGGAGTGTTTATAGCAGCTTTCCATTCAGTTTTAATTAGTTAAGTGTTATGTATGCCTGGAAATGGTTAGACTGTTGGAACCAAGTAAGTTCGTAGATTCACTTGTTCAAGTGCACCTTTGTGATGATTCACTTTTTAATTTGGCAAATACAAGCATTAAGGGCTTATTTTCCACATGGGGATTATGGGATCACCACCTCTACCAAATAAAAAGGCGGCTGACCCCATTTTGAACTGTCTGAACTAATTGCTTGTAAGTTAGTTAGATCATTTGATTTCACTACTTATACAACCACCTGAAGAAGTGGATAGCCTACTGGATCAGTCATACATGTACCATGATCTAGGGAAGCCATGAACCAGAGCTGAGCACCTAGCACCTTGATTTCAAGACGCTATGCAAAACTGTATCTTCTACTTCAGTGACAAATGAAAAAACCTGCCTAAGAAGTGTCATGTTTTGTACCCGAGTCATAGACTATTTATTAAAAGCAAATTATATCCAAAAAGTTATTTAATAATATTCTGTCAGTACTGAATACCTAGCATACCTTCTAGCACGTAGCAAAGCTGGTCAACCATCAGGTCACCAACATCACTAAAAATTTAAGAGAATCAAAGAGCAATTTACCAGGTCTCCATTTTTATTATGCATGTCTTCTCCTCCCAAACCTTTTTTTTATTTTACACCAGAAATTTGAGACATTTTTGTACCAATTTAAGTACGCTAAGTGTCCAGCAAGCCTAATACCCTACTGCTATAAGCAGATCACATAACTACCTAAGATACTTCACTTTGTCAAGCTGAAGCAAGTGACGCTGAACAGCAATATGGCCACTGGTATAACAGGCATAACTTGCAAAAAGAATGTACTAAGAAAACAGGCTGCAAAACAAGGTTTTCAGAACGAATATTGAGCTTAACTAAGAACTACGATTCTGTTGCCCCTTGAAAATCAACACCAAAGAAGCCAGAATGAAGTAGTCCTATACCCCAATGTCCCTCTCAGTCTACTGAGATGCAGCTTAAGCTGGAAAAGAACTACAAGGGGCTCCTATGAGAGCCTGGTTTTCTCACTTTGGTATTCTTTTTTGTGAACTGCAGTTTTGGTGGCCAGAAATCGGGCTGTTCCCGATGTGGTTTTTCAACTGGTAATTCAGGAAGAAAAGATCAATCCTTCTGAAACTTCAAATTGAACACAAGTTTAATTGGAAACAGCTATTTGGAAATAGCAATGTTATTAAACTTATATTTAAATATATCTAAACTATCTAGCTTCAAGCACTTTTGGTCTCATTCATACTAATGAAGGAACATTAATGTACAACTACCAAGTCTGTTGGTTCATCTTCTTCAACTTCAGCTTCATCATCTTCATCTTCAACTATGGTATCTTCCACAGCTTCCTCATCTTCTGTAGCATCTTGAGCTGCTGCTAATAAACCTGAACCTACCAAAACAAAATGCAAATATAAGAAAGCCTTTTTAATGTCTGGTTAATCAACAGATAACTGATATTGTAGTACAATTTTCAAACTAATATTTGAAGAATTTCTTAAAAATCTGTCTAATACAGTGTTTTGAAGCCTCAGTTGCAAAAAATTCGCATTCAAATGACTGTCCGTGTTGATATTTCAGCCTTTTTCCTTCTCAAATAACTTTCTGAACTACTTACTTACATGCCAGTAAGTTCAAAACCAAAGAATCTACAGCTGGATGACAAAAAGTTCAGCATTTACACAGCAATGCTTAAAGTCACAAAATGCAACCAACTTGCCTTAAAAGCTATTGTTTCATTTTTGAACATGTCAATGTATGAAAATATTTTAATTTTGTTTTGTCATTACAAATGTGAAAATAAAAAGAGATTGCTATTGCCAGGAAATTAATTTAGTAAGTACCATTTCTTCTAAGACTAATAAGTTTCATAAACGATTAGCATGTCCTTTTCATCTGCTGGTATCAGAACACTACACTTTCACAGGTAGTTAAAAAGTTATTATTTTTGCACTTATTTTCATTCAAGTTTTAAAACATAAAGAAGTCTTTTTTTAATATGACCTCCTCAGTATCATATACTACTATATCCATATGTTCAACAGAAAGACACACTAGTCAGAAAAGAAACCTGATCTAGAGCATGGCTCCAGAGCAAGGCTCCAAGACAACTGCAATCTGATAGTTCATTGCCTCTTTGCTTTTATGGAGCCAAATCTCATACATTCAAACACTGGGCAGATCTGATTAATACCAATGTTCGCCACAGGGCAAAGTTCTGTCTGTTTGCAGCTTAAAGCACACGCAGGCTAGTCTGAGAACTCTTAAAGCATATACAAAACTACAGATTTTACTTTTAATAAACCTAATGTTTTCCAAAAATGAAAAAGTAGGAATGAATGGATGATTGATTTACACAAGCCTGAAAAACATCTAATTGCTATGAGTACACATTTAAAATAAATATTTTAAAACTTTCACGGGGAATAAGAATCCTTGAGCAGGACAAGTAAATCCAAGGGCTTCAGGATTGCCAGAGCTAGAAAAAGCAAATACAACCCCTCAAGTGTCTTTAGAGGCTACACTCAAAGTCTTTTGCTCAACCACATGCAACACTAACCTAAGAGTAACACAGATATTTTACTTGCTGACGTTTAAAACTTGTAAGGCTACAAATAAAGATTTTTTAAAAACTAAAACCTTTGTATCTGCACAGGGTACAGGTAAGTTATAGGCACTCTTCACAAGCAACTGCGCTATCATATTCTCCAAGACCTCTAGTTTACAGTCTTTTCAATGGATGTCAGAAGGGCTGATGATGTGGCAATAGCGGGAAAGGAGAGCTGCCCGCTGCGGGAAGGAACTAACGCTCGGCGTGTGCTGCAGCCCCCTGGAAGAGCTGGGTGCGATGGCTGCCCTTCTGTCTTTCCAGACTTAGTAGTAGGGAGGCAATTTTCAGATGGTGAATCAGATAACGCTACAGTGTAAACAGAGATGAGTGCTCGGCGATCTGAAGGACACTTGGGGGGTGGAGGGAGACGAGGCAGGAAGGCAGGCTGGCAGCCAGCGCATCTGCTAACGATTCACTGTACAAACCAGCACCGCATGAGAGCGGGAGCAAAGAAAAAGACAAACCCGTTGCTAGAACCTCAAGTGGGTTTTGAGCGGGACGGCCGCGCACACGTGGCTCTCCGACACCGACCTC